AATTATTAAAAATAAAAAATAAACTATCAAAATTTTATATTAATATAATATATAAAACTTATATGTAAATAATTTTTTATTTAAGCAAAAAAATTCCTCTATTGCCCAATCGACGACATTAATTTTAGAGGCTAAAAAACCTAACAAGAGTCCTTTCTTTCACCGACTACCATTCCCTAGTTTTCAATTTTCATGGTCAAAATAAAGTGTAATTCTTTCCTCTATTCATTTTTTTTTAAAATTTAGGGTCAAATCAAGAGTCTGTACAATAATTCAGAGACCAAAATGAGATTTTAATCAAAAATAAATTATAATTTTTGGATCAAAATCTGAATATCTCAAATCTCTAGTATCAGCAAGGAAGACTTGCTCTCAACCTCACTTTGTTTTTCTTCACAGTTTTCTCATTGGTTTTTCACACACTCACACCTTTGCACTCTTTTTACATTTAACTAGAGATAAAAATGGGGTGCTTTTAGATACATGGATAGTGACAAAGTGACAACTATCCTATTAGGGATTAATATGTTAATATGTCCAAAGTTAGAAGTGTCTACTTTACTTTTCCCATTTTCTTCAAGAATAAAAAAGTTCATGTCGAGAACTATTGTTCATCTTCAAATAAAAACTTCCCAAATTTCCGCCATTACCAGCGCACTCAAGGTGCACCTCCATTGTTGAGCCACCCAACTTGGGAGGGCTAGCTCAACAAGGTGTACATGTGTTGACATGTAAAAGTATGTTAAGGTGCCATGCTAGGTTTACAAAAATTTTCAAAATATTAACCTTTTATTAGTTGGAGATATCACTCTTGACATGAAAGAAGAAACCGAAGACAGCATTTTTGTTTCCATAATAAGAAAAGACGGAGATTCAAGCTTTCTTCCAACATTCATAGAGTTTAATATCAACACGAAGTCTGAAATAAACTTCACCCTCAAACGCATCAGTCATCAAAGTGGCGATCCCACGAGACATAAAGAAATCCCCTGTTCCACCAATGACTGAGATATCCCTCGTTTTGTTCATCAGTGGATCGGCGCCGGCAAAATTGATGCTTCCCCTGTGCTCAGTGGAGTTGAAAACGAAAGAAAACCCAAGCCAGGCCGTGAAGACATCTTTCCTGTCGTAGAAGTAGAACCCCTGAGCACGTCCAACTGGGGTTGAATGCAGATTGTTGTCCAAAGTAACAGGATCGTCGAACACCGCCAGGTCGCCAAAATGGCTCTGCCCCGCCAAGATGGTCCTGTTTCCCCATGCTGGTGCACCAACAATGGCGGATGTTGCATTCTTTGCATTCTTGCCATTGTAGATAATGTCATGGAAGTAAAATACCAGTCTTTTGCAGGGGCGGTTTGATGATGCTAGTCTCATTTTTTTGCCATGGATCATGGCCGTGGATGTACTGAGCAGGAGGAGGGAACAGAGGAGAACAGCTGAAAGTGGTTTTGCAACACCTGCCATTTCCTTTTTTTTTTGTTCGAATGTGATAATGCTGCTGCGTATGCTTTGAAGAATGCCTGTTCTGGTGGCTATTTATATATACACAAATTGTAACATTTTCTTTGATTATACGTTTTCTTTATAAAGATAGTGTGCTAAAACTGCATCTTTTATTTTGTATAACTTCATCTTAACTACTCATACAATCATTTGGGGTAAAACTCTATTTTTAATCCCTCACCTTACCAAATATGAAAGTTTTAACCCATCATCTTATATTATAACATTTTTAGTCCCTTATCTTACTAATTTTGTAGGTTTTAACGCCTCACCTTATATTATAACACTTTTAACCCCTCACCTATTAAAATTGAAGAAAATAACCCTCATTTTGTAACATTTTATTAGTTTTGTTAATTGACTGTTAACTCTATTAGTTAACTGTTAATTAATTATTAGTTATCAAAAACTTTCTTTCAGCTAATAGAGTTAATAGAACTAACTTTATTATATTTTGTTAATTCTGTTAATTGATTATTAGTTGATTGTTAATTGATAAAAATCTATTTTCAGCTAGTAGAATTAACAGTTAGATAAAGTGAGGGTTATTTTCTTCAATTTTAATAGGTGATGAGGTAAAACCTAGAAATCTAGTAAGGTGAGAAGTTGAAAGTGTCATAATATAAGATAAGAGGTTAAAACCTTCAAATTTCATAAATTAAGGGACTAAAAGTAAGTTTTTGCCATCATTTGGGGCTCCACCACCACGACGGCTCATTTTCAAGGAAAGTAGTGGAGTAAAGCGTACGCTTCTTGAGGAACCCAGGCTGGCAGAGTTTTTGTGGTTACGATTTTTTTTTTTTTTTAAATGAAGGTTACTAATTAATTTTAAGTTGGAATAATTATTCACATTAGGATTCAATTCAAATACAAATGTACTAATAGCCAAGTCCTTGCCTTCTTTACTAAAGTACTAATTAAAAATAAAAAAATATTATATAATTTAGATTGTATAATTTAAATATTAAATAGAGACATACTCCTTTCCATTCAATGTGATTTCTAACACTAACGAACAAAGTTTCTATTTTATTTGTAGAAGAAAAAATGATCACGTGTTTAGCTCCCTAGAGATGGTCCAAATAAAACTTTCTTTTGGAATAAGAAAATGAGTGTCATAGGACCACCTACGCAAGAACCATCTTCTCTTTGAGAAAAATGAGGTTAGTGATTATGTACTCCGCTTAGCTACATTACAATAAGAAAGTTTAGAATAGGGACTAACTAGGAAGGATATATATACTATAAAATAGGATGACCTTGACATCTTTCTAACCACTTTGATAGAATCCCTAACTAATGAAATCTATTAAAATTAAGCTAAACATTATTATAGAATGAGCTTATCAATTTTATCATTAATCTTTTTATTTTTAATAATTGAATTTATTTACAACTTTTTAAATAAACAAATTTTACCATTAGTCTTTTTACTTTTAATAATTATACACAAATCTTATATGATCATTATATAATCATTTGTGGCACCACCACCAGGATGCCTCATTTTCAAGGAAAACGTACACTGCTTGTGGAACCCAGGATGGCAGAGTTTTTGTGGTTACCAATTAGTTTTAATTTGG